ATCATGCCAAAGTTTTTTGTTATTTTTTCATTCTGTTATGCATGTATCTATTGTACAATTTTTTTGTCGAAATACCATTTTTCTACTCTACTTGTACGATCTCTTAAAAAAAATATTTGGCAACACTGGTCTCTCTACAAACGACGTAGATCTGTAGTTAACATCTGAGACACTAGATGACGCCATCGTTGCTGCGGTCGTTGCGTTTCCAATCTTTATGTCCCTAATCTCTGCTCTATACTTTATAAAATATTTGTTACATTAGTTTTTAAATATATTATGAATATATAACAACTGTTACTTTCTTTGTAATTTGTCAGAAAATGATACGAGGTATTTTCTAAACGAAGCAATTGTAGTTTGTTTTTCTGTACCTTACAAAAATATAATTTATAGAAAAAGAGTTTGATGTATTATTTTTCCAAGTTTAAATATTTAATAATCAATAGAATTTTCAAGTTTTTTTTTAGTGAAATTTACAAGAGTAATAAAAACTATGTTCACTGCTTATCATGGGCGAAGTTAAGGGGGGGCTTGGGGGGGCTAAGCCCCCCCAAAAACCAAATTAGCCCCCCCAAAAATAATTAGAACATTTATCGCACATCCACCCAAACATTTCAGAACAGAAATTAAAAAATAAAAAGAATCGTGCCATTTGATTGATTCTGCAATTTTACATTTAGTTCAGGAGGCAGTGAATTTTTTTCGTATTCATTTTTCCAGTCGGTGTATATGAAAAATAAACTGTTCTCTTGGTGACAAAAAACAAAATTTTTGAGTCTGACACTTATTTTCCCAGTCATAACTATTTTACATTTACTAAACTAGAACATAAAGCTTATAAAAATAGCAGTTTGGATTATCTCAGATAGTGGAAAGTGAGTGTGGCAGAAAATTGAGCATATAAATTGATACAATCATGAACTGTTTATAATAATAAGTCTGGCTGATTTACGAAATTGGCTAATGAGTCTGGTAATATCTTCTAAATGGAAAAAATATAATATGTTTGCTTTTATTTTCCCGGGTTTGAAAATTTGTCACGTGATAGATTAAATTATAATTTTACACCTCCATTTTATAGCCAATCAACTGCTGTTATTTTAAAACACTTTCATGACAACCAGAAAAATTTCCGGAAATTTTTCTTTTGGTGGGTACCCTGAACGAAATTATACTGAAAATTTTTTTGACAGTTGAGCAGCTCTTTCATGCATATAAAAAATTTGCCATTTCAGTGGTTAATATTTTATTTAATACCAAATATCATCCCATTACAAAAAAAAAAAAACTAGGTAGAAATGCACTACATTTATTTTATGTAAAATAATAATTAGGTTTTTCGCGTCAACTAAACGACTTCAAATATGACAAATGGTCATGGTATGGTCACAGCATATTCTGTGGTATGGCTACCTTAAAAAATTTGATTTTAGTCGTTTTAATGCATGTCTGTCAAGTTTTAAAATTTGGATATTTTGGTGTAAAACTTTCTTACCCAATACCAAACGTGCCTAAATTATTATCAGTAAATTTTTGCACACTCACGCATATTTTAAGAACATTATCCATCTACTTAGGATAAATTTCAAAATATTCGTAAGTGAAAATACACGTCTGGCTGACAATTACAATTACAGAGGCCTGCCAGTCTCACAAGTAGTGTCCGACCGAAGGTTCGGTTACGGTTTCGGCCAACTTTGGCTTTAAATAATAGTTTCGACTACAGTTTCGGTTTCGGCGGAAAACTGGCCGAAACTGCAGCCGACAGCGAAACTACTTTTAAAAGTTTTCATATCACAATTAACCAATTGTGATATGAAAACACAACCGTGTCCGGCGCAATGGCGACTGTGCCGGGTGCCATTCCTACACAGTGCACGACCACGTACACACAAACTTCTCTGCTTTGTTTCAAGTGAACATGTCAATAAATTTATTAATGGCTTCTTTTGATCACATAAATAAACAGGTAATAAGTAAATGTAGCTAAAATTTATAATACGAGTTAATTAGTCTAAAACAAGGATTACAATGAGATATTGCAAATTTCAGTAAGAGATTGCCTTAAAAGAAAGTTCTTGTTTCTGTTTCGGCCGAAACTAAGAAAGGAGCCCAAAATTTGGTTTCTGTTTCGGTTATAAAACCGTATTTCGGTCGGACCTGACGGTCATTAGACGAGTCTGGCAAGGCTTTCGGGGTGTTCCACATTAGCCAGATTGTATTTTAAGCTGTTATCATAATATACATTTTTCTAGTAGTGAGAACACTTGTAACAGGGATCCTTACTGGACATTGCCAACTAAAATTACACCTTAGTAAACTGAGAGTAGTAGAAGATAGTGCAGATTTTGTGAGGAGGAGGAAAAAATCTTCATTCACATTCTAACTAAGTGTGTAGCACTTGAGAATCCAAGGGCACTATACCTAGGAGCATATCAAATAGAAGAGGGAGATTTACCTAACTTGAAGCCACTCCAAATCCTACACTTCCTTGAGAAGGTATAATTGGAAGGATCTTTATTCGCGATTCAAGCTAAGTGATACGCCCTCTGGAGGAAATTTGTAGAAGGTCCCTATAAGTAGGATATCGTTCAGTGTTGCCAGAAGTAGCAAAATTTCTCTACGTCGTCGGATTTTAGCTCTTGAAGAAGTGGATAAGACCTTTTATTTAAGAATCAAAATTTGTGTATAGTAATATGTAATCATACTCTATATTTATTTAAGGACTTTTTTATAAAACCGATTTATTATATTAATTTTTTTTTTAATTTCAGTTCATTTATTAATTTTGTTTTAAAATCAGTTCATCATTTGGCAACGAGTTCATTGTTTACATTTTAATTTGTATCAATTACAATTCGAGTTTTTCTTACTTTTTAGCTTTAAATTTGTTTATTTCTTATAGTATGTGATAGTGTTTATGTTAAAAATGAAATCTGCAAAAAAGTCCCCAGCAAATTGCAATCTATATGGTGTTAATGTCAAAATCAAAACTGAAGTATTCATTATTTTCCAAGTGCAAGTCGTAAAATTTAGTTTTTTACCATAAATGGATATCTACAAATTCACAATATTGAAATTTTGCAAAACTTTGTTTAGAATCGATATATGATATTTTATCCATTTTCATAGATTCGCCAGAATTTTTTTACTTAACTTCAGTAGGTATACCTCTAGAACTATTATATATTATATGACTAGGGCTTTAGCCCCCCCAGATCTGATGACATAACTTCGCCCATGCTGCTTATATTAAACTGAATAAAACTTCCTTTATTAAAATGATTACTTATATGATAAAAAATTTGATGTTATTGGAAGCTTTTATATTTTTTTAATATACAGTGACACAATAGTTTTTGTTTTGAATTTCCCGCCCTAAAGCATTTTTAATTTTCCCGCTATTTACTAGTGGCGCCATCATAGACTGGTTGTGGTTACAATCGCCCAAATAACTTTTACCGAACAAAAAAAATACATTGAGTTACACGTCTCGCTGAATTGTCTCTGGTACAATGAATCGTCAATTCTCGGATGGAACGGACTTTATTTACTGCGCATGACGATGACCGTACGATGTACGGTTTTCTGTTGGGTTGGAACAAACCTAACGTATTATTCAAGATAAAAACTGTAACAGAATTTAAAAAAGTCTGATGTGTCCAACACATGACTTTCCTATCTAGTTATTATAGGCTTTTTCCGGTTATTTTGTACAACCTATTGCAGCATCTCTATAAATGTTTAGATGATAAACTAAAGATATACATTGTCCACATACATCTACCTCGAAACATTTTTCTATAGATATTCATTGAAAACGAAAATACTGAAAAATTTAAATTTAGCACTTTTCCATTACGGTCCATTTTAGAAAAATCATGTATAAACAAAAATTATAGAGATCGATATCGCAAACAATAGTTCAACAATTTTCATAAAAATCAGAATTTTGCACATTTTGTCAAATTTCTCGAATACGGACCATTTCAGGAAATTTTGACATAAAACAAAAATTATAGATAATAATATTAGAAGTAACTTTTATTTGAACAATTTTCTCCTCCAAACATAAATAACAGATATATTCAATAAAATATAAAAACAGCCTCCCATAAAGTACCCCCCTAGATGTTCCGACTTTGTCCAAAATCTAATCATTTCACGTCAGGCCGAAATAAACCTTAAGTTTAAAATTTAATGTTTTTTTCTTTATCCGTTTTTGAGTTTTCTTCAAAATTCGAAATTTACACATTTTCTCAAATATCTCGAATACGGTCCATTTTAGAGAAATTATGTATAAAATAAAAATTATAGAGAATTATATTACAAACAACTTTTGTTTGAACAATTTTTATAAAAAATAATTTTTTTACATTTTGTCAAATTTCTCGAATACGGACCATTTTAGGAAAATTTCGTATAGAACAAAAATTATAGATAATTATATTATAAGTAACTCTTATTTGAAGAATTTTCTTCTCCAAACGTAAATAACAGATATATTCCATAAAATATAAAAATGACCACCTATAAAGTACCCCCCCAGATGTTCCGACTCTGCCCAAAATCTAATTAGTTCATTAGACGCTGGAATAAAGCTTAAGTTTAAAATTTGGTGTTTTTCTGTGTATCTGTTCATGAGTTATGCGACCTACAGTCACACACACACAGACACACACACACAGACACACACACACACACACACAGACAGACATCATCGCGAAAATAGTCAAAACTGATTCAGGGGACCTCAAAACGTAAAAATCCGTCGAAAACTCGAGGTCGAAAAAAATCATGATTCCTATACTTTCCTTATATCTGTATACAGATAGGAAAGTAAAAATGCTTACACTCAAAATGAGTTTTAGAAGATTGAAACTGATTTAAAAACATGCCTACACGCGAAATTTGTATTGGAATATTGAAACTGATTTAGTAATACTATTGACACCATACAGAATTACTAAAGACAATACAATTTTTTTTTTTTTCAGGTAATAAGTGAGGAAGTTAAAGAAAATATGAATTTAGAATTAACCTTAAAAAGCAGCATTTCAATAGACGGTTTGGTCAGTCCTTTGGATGAAAACATCAGTATGTTTGTAAGAGATAAGCCATCAGAAATAATACAAAATGATGCTAACGAACCCAAAAAGATAGAAGAAGAAAGTGAAACTGAGCAAAATCCAGCTGAGGTTAGAAAATTTTATTCATTTACTATCTAGTTTTTTTTTTTTTTTTTGAACAAATACAAAGATTTTCTCAAACTAATCTTGAAAGGAACACTTTACAATTCTGTTAGTTTTTATATATTGTTATCAATCAATGACAGTAAAAATAGTTTAATTTTAAAATTATACAGGGTGAGTATTGGAATATAGAGTAAGCGCAGGTTATTTGGAACAAAATATGGAGATTGGACCAAACATGCCTTAATAAAATGTTGCTATAGGAATTTCACAACATATTTATTAATCGTTATCAGAATTGGCAAAGAGGCAATATTATTTATTATTTTACATTTTGTTACAGAGGGCGCCACATATGCGATTGCTGATGATGAAATTAGGTCATATCATTTTTAAAACAGGATATAAACGTTATTTTTATGTAAAATTGTTATACCTCTTTAAACTTAATAATTTAACCTGTTTTGGAGAAAAACTAAATTGAACATTTCAGAGCTTCGGAAAGGGATTTGAGAATTTCAGAAATCCTTAGTTTTTGCCAGTGAATTTCCTTTATGAAATGAACTCCGAAATTCTTTTTTCAATAAAATTGGAAAATACGTAGAAGAATGAGGATGTCACGTAGAACATTTACTTTGAGTTAGTTATTTTTATTCGAAGTTACAAGTTTGTCTACTGCTTCTCATTTGAAAGAACTTTCAGTCGGAGACATATGTAGTGTTCAATTGCGTTTTTCTCGAAAACTGTTAAAATTATTAATTTTAAACAAGTAAAACAATTTTGCATAAAAATTGAGTTTACATCATGTTTTAAAAATGATGTGACCTAATTTCATCATCAGGAATCGCTCATGTGGCACACCCTGTATTAAAATTTAAATAATAAATTAAAATATTATTTGCCTAAAGTTCTGATTCTGTGATAACTTTGATAACAAAAATTGATAAAAAAAATTTCAACTTTAACACTCTTTTTCCGCAGCAACATTTTATCTAGTCACGTTTGATCCAATCAATCCTATTTTGCTCCAAACAACCAAATCAAGGTCTATGTGCATATAGTTATGACTCATCCGGTATATTTGGATCAAATTCTCTTTGATGCTGCTATCAAGCCAATAAGAAGAGGTGACTCATTTTTTTTTCATTCGACTTAACCTTTGTAGGAGTTTAAACATGAACATTATTTGTTATTTTAATCATTTTTTATGCATTTTTAATCTATTTGAATTTTTAGGTGTGGACCTTGTTAGATTGTCACTTTGGTATACCGTTATTTGACGTCAATGCTAATACCAAAATCTGTGATACTCTTGTCTATGGAGGCCTCGTTGAAGCCAATAGGTAATAAAATATTTGTAATTAACTTTTTTTGATTCTACTCTTTCAAAAAAACATCTTTATTATTTTAAAAATAAATATAACGTACAAGGTTATTCATTATAAATTACCCACACTTTATCATCTTTAATGGCAGATATACAAAAAAAAATGTTTTAAATAAGATTTTTGGATTTTTTCCAGATATCAAAACTATACCATATAGGTATGTTACCCGTACTGTTTTCGAATAATTAAACATTGCATATCTTAGTTAAGCCATAGTTATTGTAAATATGATAAAGATAACATTATTAAAGTTATGAAAATATTTTTTTCTAATTTTGACATATAAAGTGAAATTTTTTATGATCTACTGTACGCAACCAGTTGCATAATGTTGAACATTGTAAAATAATTCCAAATCATTGAAGAGTCAAAGGCAAAGTCTCCATCCTCCATATGAAAAATTCATTATGTCACTAGTTGCGAAAAGAAAAGAAATAAAAATAAACCATGTTTGGTTTTAAAATCATTAATATACATTAGTGTTGAAAGTTTATATCAAAGAAGAGCAGGTTGACTTATAAAAATAGAATTTGGTTAAACTTAAAACCTAGTAATAATGTTGTTGTGATCCTTATTTTTAATTCTAAATCAGCACAAAATAATTCAAACCTAATACACGACAAAATAACCCACTTTCTTGAAATCTTAATAACTTTAACAAGCAGTATAAACACACTGCAATAAGTCGATGAGAATAAATTATTATGATTTTCTATTTGTCAATAAAAGAATGAAATCATATGCAACTAACAACACAAGAAAGTAGTAATATTGTTTTCCTAGAAGTCAGTAATTTTTTACCAAAACACAATTTTATAAATAATCTAGTCAAAATTAGAAAAATATTGTATGTAAAACGTTACGAAATGCCGTTTTATGTATCTCGTATACAACATTTCGTAACTGGTTTCATAAATATCTAATGGTAATATGTGACTTTTTTTAATAATATAATCAAATTGGTTCATGGCCAGTGCAAATATTTACCTATACTTGATATTCGACAATTTAATTACTCAAAAACGGTTTAAAATACGGTATATGGTATATTTTTTAAATTAGGAAAAATGTCATTTCAAAAATGTAATAATATACAGTACGTTAGGTTTAGAATCCTGGATATTGGAGAAAGGTCTATAGTGCGAGACACACTGAGAAGCCCACACCGTTGCTATGCTTGAATCGGCAAAAAAACAGGTCCGGTATCAGGCAAATTTCGCAAAATTTTTATGTTCAATAATAAATAATAAACAATTAATTTCAAAATTAAAAATTTATGAGTTAACAAATTTTACGCAACAGATTGTAAGTCATCGTCGTGGTCTGAAATCTCACTCTCAGAGCTGTCGCCAAAATGTACTCTTATAATGAGTTCATCAACGTTGTCTTGGAGATTATCAGCGACTTTTGTTCTTGACATGTTCAAATGCTTTATCTATAAAAGAACGAACATCATGTGTTAAAATCAAAGTTATTCATAGCAATATAGCACTTTACCTAATTCGATGCCATCTCGATCGGGTTAAGCTCGCAATGATACGGTGGTAAACATAAAAGTTACCCCGTATTTTGCAACTGTTTCCTCGATCTTATATTTGTCATATTGCTCTCTGCACGCGTTGGCAACTTCAAGCAGCTCAGGTTTTAAATAGTGGTCAAAGAAAATGTTTTTTTTTAACAGACAATTTTTTATTTCGGGTTTGTTCCATGTGGTAGCTGGAAAACTAAATTTACGGGAATGACACAAAGCGTTATCCATAACAACAACGATCTTTCGTCCATTTTTGGGTAAGTTAGGAATCAGCGACTCCTCAAATCATTGCTCAAAATAGTCGGCGTTCATTTCGTCATGATAATCGCCATCGTTTTTCTTTGCCGAGAAAACGCGTGGCGCCAGATGAAAATCCACCTTCATATCCTTCATGAACAATAATGAAACGTGGACCTCTTTGTAAAGGTGCTTAGAAGCCTGTGGTTAAACTCTTTATAAAAGCATCTCTACGATTTTTTATGGTGTTAACACCATGCATAGTTAACCGTTTGAACCTCTAAATAGAAAACATTGTTTGATGGCTCTTAAATACCTGTGTCGCCAATGAATGATGTCGTTTCGTTCTAACATTATACTTTTACGACCACGCTTCACATATTCAAAACTAATGTCTTTCATCAATCTACATAGGGTTTTTAAAGAGAACGATGGTCAATTCTCATTCCCTCGAATAATATAAATTGCATTCAAAGTTGGCGGAATTAAAAAAAAAAAAAATAAGTCATTGTTCACAATTCCTCTCAATAAGCTCTTAGAACCCTCATCATATGTACAATCGCGAGAATTTTACTGCCTTATCCGCTTTTTTCTTCTTGCGGGAGATTTCAATTCGTCAATTCAATCCTCCTTTTTTTTTTCACCGAGCCCACTCATTTTGGAAGCATGACTTCCCGCTGTAGTCACACTCAATTTATCGTCATTAACTAAATAGCAAATCATATTAAAAATCACAATTTTCGCACTCGCATAGAGTATTTTTCCGCGTTTGAATTTCTTAAACTCTATGTTGCATGTAAGAAATCACAACTGAAACAACCCCAAAAAAAAGTTGTTGAGTAATTAAATGTCAAAGTTTTGAAAATTATAAAAAATTGATGGGCTTTAAATATGCGTATACAATATTAATTCATAGGCTAGCGCCATATAGGCAGAAGGCAGTCGCCGAAAATGAGGCTCAGATCTTTGTGTAGTAAATTTAAATGCTAGGCTTTTCAACTAATCTTCAGCTCAATGTAGCGAGTTAACGAATTGCTCGTAATAGATTGTAGGATTTGTCTGCTCCTGAAGATAGGCAGCTGAATGTCTGCCTAATGTGGCGGTAGCCTTACAAATTTAAAAAAGAAGATATTTCAGTTGGATTTTTTAATTTTGTGATCGGCTCTTTTCTGTAAAATAAATTTTAGCACTGTTTGGTTAAAGATATTTTATTATTAAAGGAAGTAGGTAAGAAATACATACTGTCTTTTTAATTTATTTTACCATCATAGGTTCTAGTTCAAAATCAGGCGCTCCGCTGAATCCATCCACATTGTTGTCGAAGTCTGTACCGGTTATATGTTCATAAAATTGCGTACAATCGTTCGGAATTAAGTACATCACAGATTTTTAAATATCTAACTTTTTTATTCTCAATATCTATTTTTCTATATTATCTTAATACACGATTTATCTGACCAAAGCTTTCGTTTCCTTCCTATCCAATAGCTTTTGTCATCAGATGATAGCTGTTTAGTAAATGTTTAGTAAAAATCAAGCTCTTTAAGGGAATGAATAAATAAATAAATTAATAAAAATGGGAAGATAAAGGAAGTTGAAATATTAATAAAAAATCTTAACTCGGAAACAAAAAACGATATCTAATTGAAATATTCAGGAAAAAATTAAGCTTTATAAGCTTTGATTCTGAAAAATATCTGATTGCAAATGGGAGCTGTTAAACTTTGAAGAGTATAATATTGAAGGGAAGCCATGGTATACAGTGTGTGCCATAAAGTTGGATCCATATGGGAATTTTTTTAATATTCCGATTCGAAAAACACGTCGTAGGGCAGTCACCTCTGCTTACCTAAAAACTTAAAATAGCCCATATCAAAGTTGGCTACTGACATTAGTTTTCTGTCATATCGGCATTTCAAAAGGATTTTTCAAAAAAAATTCCGTAATTCTTTTCATGGGCTATTTCAAAGTATTAAAAAAGCAGAGGTGAATGCTCTATGACATTTTTTTTTAATCCTACTATTAAAAAAATTCCATATGGATCTAACTTTATGGAACACACAGTATATCTTCAGTCTAGTTTTTATTTTTTTTACTCTCTTAATGATAAGGTACAAATAAATAAAATTATACGGGGACTACTCAAAAATTTAAATAATTGCAAGGATTTTAAAGAGTGGTCCTTAATTCGTTTTGACTAGTTATTTCGAAAATTCCGACCGCGTCACAATTGCCATCCGGCCGGATCACGGTCGATAGGCCGAATTGGTACCGCCGAGATTCCGGTACATCCCTACTTGAGATAGAGCCAAAAATCATTAGATTAGACTTGGTAGTATTGATCGTTAAAAAATGCTTGGATGCTGACACAATAAAAGTATTATAAAGCTGTAAAAAAGTTCTCATTAAATCTAAAGTTTGTACAATTTTATTATATTCATATTACTCATAATTTGGCGCCACTATTTTTTAAAAGATGTTAATACTTTTGTCATATTTTAAAAAGCTTTTATTGACTCGTTTGGGAATTTAGTTAAGTTGGTTTTATTTCCTTCATATTATGTACAATTATTATTAGGTTAGTTTACAGTATTGGTTAGTGCAGAATGACGGAGTACTTAATCTGTACTCTTACAAATAAATCACTATTATTATTTTAAAGTTTGGTAAATAATAATATGCGAATAATATTTAAATTTGTTTTTGTACTTAAAAAATGTTGGTTTAATAAATTATTTTTTTTCTTTAGTTTCGAACACTTGGTGGAATCTAGTCGAAAATTAGGATCATCTTTACTGGATTTTATTTCACAATGCCAGGTAATATCTCACAAAAATATACTATAAATGTTGGCTTTTAAGTTTGTTATTCATTGATTTATTTTATTTTAGTATCTAAATTTTTGATTTAAAGAGTACCCCATATACTTAAGCTTAATTTATAACCGCCGTAACGTAACTTAAGAACTTAACGTAAGAAGTTGAAATATTGAATTTACGTATACTTATTTATAATGTTCGTAACGTAACTTAAGAACTTAACGTACCGTAGAAAGTTCACCAACTTTTAACTTAACAACATAACTTAAGACCTTACGGTTAGCCAATGAGATAATTCTGCGTTCAGCATGTGATAACTGTCAATTATTCTTTTTATTTTTTTTTTATAAATAAATAGAAAAATACCATTTGTAAACTATCATTCTCCTTTTTGATGGACATACATTATCATGAATGATTTGTGTTTATGTTATTGGGGATAAACTATCTATGAGATATGAGTGTAGCTGCATATACCTATAAACATCAAGTCTAGAACTGAAATAAGACACAAAACTTTTTTGCTAGGAAAGATTAAATTCTCATTATTGCTCAAAAACAATCAACATCTTCGGTAAACTATTTTGTTTTATTATATTTTTATATTATTACTTAAGGTTGTCAATAATTTGATAATCTCTGAAATCAACACGCATGCTCAACTCTTACGTTACGGACATTTATAAATAGACTTTATTTTTATATCTTAGGTTAAGTTTCTACGGCGTTAAGTTAAGTTACGTTACGGTGGTTATAAATTATACTTTAAAGAAGTTCAGGGGAGTTAAATGTAACAATATTGGATATCTATCTCGGAAACTTTTACCTAATTGTTACATATATCCAAATCTGTTACGTGTTATACGTTATGTGATATATTATGTTACCTTAGTTGTTGCCAGGTTTAAAAAAAAAACTTGTGAAAAGGAGTCTTTAAAACCCTCCGGCTTAGCTCAGACAGTGTTATAGATTTTATATTTATTGGTCGGTGAAATTCGGCTTAGAATTTAACCAACAAGTTAATGGCACTATCTTTATTTAAAAAGACAAAGGTGTTTAATTAGCTTGCCAGCTGAAAATAAGGAAAAATTAAAATAGTTAAATTAAAAATAATGACTTTTAATGTATATAATGAACAGGAACTTGTCTCTACTTGGTTATCCCAATTAACAATTTGAAAGTTTTTACATAAAAAAAAGAAATAAGTTAGATTAAATTAAATTAACTTTAGACTGGAAAGTGACTTTGTGGACATGTATCAAATTTACATTAAATTTACAATAAAACGTGACCCAATATATTCATAACTTGGGACATAGGCCAAGGGCAGGTTATTTGGACCAAAATATGGCGATAGGGCCAAATATACCTTAATAAAATATTGCTGTGGAATAAAATACAGAGCGTTTAATAATAATAGTAATAATAATTTTAAGACTCCTTTTCACAAGGTTTTTTTAACCGACTTCAAAAAAGGAGGAGGTTCTCAATTCGTCGCGATATTTTTTTTTATGTATGTTTAGCGATAATTCTTTAACACGGTGTCCGATTTTAATAATTCTTTTTTTGTTAGAAAGGGGCTACTTTAGGGGTGGTCCCACAAAAATTTGGTTAAGATATGGTGATGGCATCTGCACGTTTTTGAAGTCGGTTTTTTAAATTTTTAATTTCTAATACTTGTTTAAACCTGGCAACAATTAAGGTAACATATATATCACATATATAATATACGTAACAGGTTTGGATATATGTAACAGATTTGGCGCTCAATGTTAATAGAATTTATGGAAGTAAGGAATATTTGGCTAAGACATTTTTTTCTTATATTGAGTTTATTGGTAAAAATGTGTAAGGATTGGCAATAGTATAGTATACATTTGTACTTTTATTTTTTTTTACCTTATTTCAGTTACATAAAAAAATACCAGTTATTGAAGGAGTAAATAAATTTGAAAATGTATGTTAAAACAGTTGGCATAGATCATGTACAAAAACTAGATCACAAAGGTGATTGACAGGAATTCAGCGTCACAGTGTCGCTCATGGAAACAATTCCAACCTTGTTTTTCATTGATTGCCTGTTGTTGGAGAGTACAGAATTAGATTTCAAAAAACTGTCTTCAAAACAAACTTATTGATGTAGATAATTATAAAAAACAGAATTGGTTATAGCTCGTGATCGTAGTAGTTGTTCAAATTTTCAGACGGTAAAAAATATTTTAATAATCACCAAATATTTATTTATTAACATATTTTTTCATAAATAGAAGAAAAAAATAAGATGAAAAGTTTCTTCACGCCTGTAAACAGCCACAAGTCAGCTGTAATACTTTGTAAAGAAGTGTTTCCGACGTGTATATTGGGTGGCGCTGTGATCTTAATTTCGGATCCCTAGATTAGACATTTCCAACTACGAAAAACTACTAGACTAATTTTGTTTACAAAAATTGAATTGCAAACATTCACAGTATCATCCACGAAGTTGTCAAATTATTACGAGAGAGTATGGGAGAGTATTGTTAAAAAGGATTGTTTATGGTTATAATTCGGTATTGACTAAACGTAAAGCTCTAGGGTCTATTCTGTGATAGCATACTTACGAAATGAAGTGTTTTTGCCAGAGATAACAGATTTTTGCCACTTTAACAAAATTGTATTACAGGGGTTTTATTAATTTTATGATTCCTTTTATGACCCACAGTATAAATGGCTAATTCACTATAGCAATTGTCTCTATCTAACTAATGCGAAATACCTATAGCCTAGCACACTTCTGGTTAGATGCACCACTTGTAATGTTTTTAGTGAAAGAAAGAATATTACACATATAGAAAAAGTTCAGTCTCTATTCCTAGAGACACATTTCCAAAATCTGATACAATTATTATACAGTGAGCATCATAAGTCTTACCCCCCCCCCCCTATCTAACTCGTTACTGAAGTATTATTAGGAAAATCGCTGAGACACGTCGATTTTTGATTTCTACATTGTACATTTTTGTATGAATAGTTTACCCTTAATTTCATCCCTTACTGGAGGGGAGCAACCCTTTCGAAAAATTTAAATGGCATGGGGTGGTAAGTGATACCTCATTTGAAAGGGGGTTTTATTTTCTATACAACCGTGCAAAAAATTTTGAAATTAGCCTAATTTATTCTCGACTAATTATTGTTTCAGAATAACGAAAATTAACCTAGCGCACTCATCTTTAGAATTAAAATTCGGCCCTGCATGATATCGGTTTTGGTTCAGACGTGAAGTAAGACTTTTTGTCATTAGATAAGGCCACTGTTAGTTTATTTGCTTTCCTGTTTGAGATGTTTTGTTATTTTTAAACATTAATAAAATAATACGTAATGAAGCAAATTTCAAAATTTTTTGCACGATTGAATAGAGAATAAAACCCCCTTTCAAATTAGCTATCACTCACCACCCCATGCCATTTAAATTTTTCGAAAGGGTTGTTCCCCTCCAGTAAGGAATGAAATTAAGGGTAAACTATTCATACAAAAATGTACATTGTAGAATTCAAAAATCGACGTGTCTCGGCGATTTTCCTAACAAGACTCCAGTAAAGAGTTAGATAGGGGGGGGGAAAGACTTATGATGCTCACTGTAGAAAAAATCTTAAGCTAAATAAAATTTTGGAAAAGTTGTTCCATCGAAACACAGATGTAACCTTTATCTACACGTCCATAGGTATTTTTTCATTTACTAATAAATTAACAAATGTGAACATAAGACAAAAAAAATCTGATGTGTCCAACACATAACTTTCCTATCTAGTTATTATAGGCTTTTTCCGGTTATTTTGTACAACCTATTGCAGCATCTCTATAAATGTTTAGAGGATAAACTAAATATATACATTGTCCACATACATCTACCTCGAAACATTTTTCTATAGATATTCATTGAAAACGAAAATACTGAAAAATTTAAATTTAGCACTTTTCCATTACAGTCCATTTTAGAAAAATCATGTATAAACAAAAATTATAGAGATCGATATCGCAAACAACTTTTAGTACAACAATTTTCATAAAAATCAGAATTTTGCACATTTTGTCAAATTTCTCGAATACGGACCATTTCAGGAAATTTTGAAATAAAGCAAAAATTATAGATAATAATATTAAAAGTAATTTTTATTTGAACAATTTTCTTCTCCAAACATAAATAAGATATATTCCATAAAATATAAAAACGGCCTCCCATGAAGTACCCCCCCAGATGTTCCGACTTTGTCCAAAATCTAATCATTTCACGTCAGGCCGAAATAAACCTTAAGTTTAAAATTTAATGTTTTTTTCTTTATCCGTTTTTGAATTTTCTTCAAAATTCGAAATTTACACATTTTCTCAAATATCTCGAATACGGTCCATTTTAGAGAAATTATGTATAGAATAAAAATTATAGAGAATTATATTACAAACAACTTTTATTTGAACAATTTTTATAAAAAATTATTTTTTTTACATTTTGTCAAATTTCTCGAATACGGACCATTTTACGAAAATTTTGCATAAAACAAAAATTATAGATAATTATATTAGAAGTAACTTTTATTTCTTCTCCAAACGTAAATAACAGATATATTCCATAAAATATAAAAATGACCACCTATAAAGTACCCCCCAGATGTTCCGACTCTGCCCAAAATCTAATCAGCTCATTGGACGTTGAAACAAAGCTTAAGTTTAAAATTTGGTGTTTTTCTATGTATCGGTTCATGAGTTATGCGTTATACAGACACACAGACACACACAGACACACACAGACACACACAGACACACACAGACACACACACGCACGCACCCACGCACCCACGCACGCACGCACACACACACACACACACACACACACACACACACACACACACACACACACACGACATCATCGCGAAAATAGTCAAAACGGGTTCAGGGGACCTCAAAACGTAAAAATCCGTCGAAAACTCGAGGTCGAAAAAAATCATGATTCCTATACTTTCCTTATATCTGTATACAGATAGGAAAGTAATATAAATACAAGACAAATGTGAATATTGTTATATTGAAATTAAATATAAGTTTGTATAATATTAATAAAAAAAAAATAAACAAAAAGCGATTATACCGAAACTTGAACTCACGGCCCCTTGCTTCAGAAGTCAACGCATTATCTACAAACCACATTGGATAGATGCTTTTGTTTTCGAGACGGTATAATAACGATGGGAAAGCCAAAGTTAACCAAGTTAATTTTATTCAAACTAATTTTCTTCAGAAACTACAGAATGAATATATTATAGCCATTGTATCAGTCTACTGAACGGATATCATTTTAGATTCATTCTAGAATGTATATGAAATCCACTAAATGTTAAGTAGCCTGCTAACTAAATATTCTTCTCCCATATACCGGGAATTTTTTCTTGAAATAGGCGAACAACTTCGAACTGTGTTCCTGTTTTATCTCCATAATCTATCATTTGTAAAATTGGTATTTTATGGACTTCCATTAAATTAACCATGTTTCTGATCTGTAGTTAATAAATTGAAATGACATGTACCTACAACACGGGCAGCAATTAATGTACTGCAGTTATAATCACACAGCAAGTTGCTAATGCGTTTTAAACGAAATGAAGAGTGTTGATAACTTTTTCTTTTTTGTTTTGTTAATTTCGTCGAAAAAGGCAATTGAAATTGTTTTTGCTTGCTTTCTTATTATCAAGAACGATACTATATTAGATATTAATTGTTTAGCGAGTTGGTAGCGAATTTCGTCGATCAGATGAATTATTATTTTTTACTCTTAATTTTGGCAATATATTTGAAAATCACAGCACTTTTGAATAGAGCACTTTTCAAATGAGGTATTTACAACTTTGGAGGTTGCAACTGTTACTCGAAGTAGGTTAAAGTAAGGGGGAAATTTTCACATTGCAGGATGTCATTTAATAATCTAAAATTGACGTGTTTCGGGATTTTTATAAATATGCACAGTAATTGAGCTACTGAAGTTATAAAGATATACATTTTGGTAAATTGTAATAAAATTAACAAAAACCAATTCAGTTATAAATGTTAAAGGGAAATAAATTGTAAATGTCGGCGCGAAAGTATAACTGATAACTTCTCGAGCGAAAGGTCTGTGGTTCAAATCCGGGTTGAAGCCAAATTTTGTTTTTTTTTTTTATTTTATAAATTATTAGAATCTAGAAATACAAATCTTTGTTTTAAATATATTTAAAAGTGTTATTTTATGTTAATAACCTCTAAATTACTTTTTAAATTGTAGATTTTCTTCAGTAATTGGTAGAAAAAATATACTATACAATTTGAGTGGTTTGCTCGTATCGCACACCTCCTATGTGGCGTCGGGCTCAAACTTCATCTTCGTACAATTTGGTCATCTTAACTTACCACTGTTGTTGCACAAAATACTATTTGGCTTGTATAAATATTTTAGGTACTCAGAAAATCCTATTACCGTAACAAAGTTAGTCTTTACAAATTAGCAGCTGTCTCCTTCTTTCTAATGCGACAGCTCTGTCTGCGTAATAATAAACACAATCTGAATGATTGCAATGGAAAAGGGCTTAATTATTATGAATAATTGGATTAGTCTAGAAGTTTTTCGTCGTTGGGCATTTCAAACAAAACGGTTGCCTTTGGGAGTGATTGATTTGACAGGGTCTATGATTAGTTATATAGATTGAACATCTATATATTTTTCAAAATTAACATAAGCTTATGCCTTGAAGTTAAAATGTAGATAATTATTTATTTTTAATATGTTCAAAGGCTGAAATTTGGTTTTAAAACATTTTTGTTAAACCAATTCTGATTAATGAGCACTTGCGAGGCAATATAGCCGCTTGCAATAGAACCCGCTTTTAGCAATCTATATAACTATATTATATCATTGATCCTGTCAAAGCCAACAGGCAGCCATTTGGACAGATAGCCGGAATTTATTCTGCATTTTCCATAACTTGCCTAACAATAAAACTACAATCCGTCGTAGTCCTTACCGGCATGAATCTAAACTGATTGTTCGTCTCTATTCTCATTTATCTTGCAATACGACTTTCCTAAAGTTGATACATTAATATATGACCATTCTATTTTCACTATCTTAACGCTATTATTGTAATGTTGTTATTTTCTACAGTACTACCCTGGCGAACATATGGAGATTCTGAAACGGGGAAGACTCGTCCCTCTTCCGAAACATAACCTAGTTTTCGATAATGGCAGGGTAAGTGAATGGTCAGGAAAATAGAGAAATCAAGTGGATTTTCATTTTTCACGCAATATGTAGTCAATAAGAAGTTTATTATGTTTTATGCAGTACATCTTCTTTTTGTATATATGTAGAATAAGAATTTCCAAAAATAGTTTATTAGTCCTACCGAAAAACTTCAACTTTAACTCAATAATGGATTGAAATTACAATATATCACTTTTACTATAATACATACATTTCGTAAAATTTTAAATATATCTTCTTTGTTGACCAGTTGATTTCATTAAACTGGATACTTTCAATTACAAGTATAAAAAATGTACACTACAGATTTGTAGACATCATCTATTAAAAGTTGATGCTGTAACTGTATTCAATAAGTATTTGGAAAAAATACATAGAATGAACAAGTAGTGTTTAATCACATTGGCTGGATTTTAAAGATGAAGATAAAAAGTAAAAAATTACCATCCGCTTTTAACAAAGTTCATTAAAATTTATGGGTCCGATAAACTTTGACAAAGCTTGAAAAATGTGATCTGTCTGAACGACATGAACGTCAAATTACTGTCTAATAAAGTTAAGGAATCAATAACGAATGAGAGATTTAACTGTTTAAGTGTTCTTGCAGCTGGGTGTACATCTTTTTTTAAATGTATGTTATTTATATTTATGTTATACATATATCAATTATGTATCAATTAGAACAAAATCATCATCACTAGTATTGCAGTACTGTCCATTAGCAGCGTTAATCTTGCTGGCGTTTCTGATTCATATTATGCCAGTATCGGCACGGTAAAGGTCTTATGGTTTGATAGAATTTCTCCGTACAGGGTATACCAGACTACTTCATCCGGGCTATGTCTCAAAACGAATAGAGATATTTGTTACGAGAGATTTTCGGGGCTCTATTGATATAAAATATTTTGGATAGCCGGTTATACCAGAAGTGTTCCAAAACGTCTTTACTATAATGAAATACCTTGTATATTTTTACATCCCTTCCACGATCTGATTTCAACGATGTATCACACTTAATGTCTATCTTGTATGTAGGGTGTCCCATAATAATATAATTATTCCAGGCTATATCTCATAAATAAATAAATAAACTGCTATGCCATTTTTTAAGAAATTTTAATATCCCCTAAATATTTTATTATTATTTTTATTGTTAAGAACAGGCAAGCGACATAGACGATGAAGCTGCTTTTTTAGTTAGTGTCAAAAATTATTCTAAATTACTACGACAGTTACTTTTTTTTTTTTTTTATTTATTTATTTAAGAAGAAGAATAAACATTTTATAATACAAAATCAAATAAATTTACAATGAGAAATTATTCTTAAAATATGCACCTAGATGCAAAAACATCTGTATGTGCAGTAGAAATAGATTAAAACTACATAAAATTAACAATACCTATAAACTAAACTTTTGATGATTAAAAAGACATAAATATATAAGACTTTGTATTTATAACAAATTTGAGAGGTATAAATATTTATCAAATATAAATTTTCTGATCGCTTTAGAAAAGGTTTTTATGTTTTTTATTTGTCTAATATTTTCACTTAAAGAGTTGTATACTTTTGGCCCAATTGAAGAAATTAATCTTTTATTTCCATCATATTTAAAGAATGGTACATTTAGCATTCTTCTCTTTTGTTTTCGGGTAATATAAGAGTGGTTTACAAAATTTTTATTTTTCAGTTTGAAATAGAACATACAGCTAGAGTGAAAGTATAGTGATCTTACGTTTGGAGTGGATTCATTGTATAAGAGGGTTGTTAAAAACAAACGACTTTTATGATTTATTATCTTTAAGATATAATTATGAATGATACTTAAAGAATGTAGGGCATTGTCATATAAACCACCCCATACAATTATGCCATATCTAATTAAGGATTCAATGAGAGCAATATATATCAAGTGTAATAACGTTTTATTTAGAATGTTACGAATTAAATAAAATTTATATATAAGTTTTCTTATTTTGTTTGTTAAGTACTGAACATGATCAGTCCATTTAAGATTTTTGTTAACTATTATTCCCAAATATTTGGCATTTTCCACGTCTTTGATGATGAATTTGGATTCTTCAATACAAATCTGTTTGAAGATAGGCCTGTTAGCATCTGTGAGTGAGAATGCCATATATACTGTTTTCAATATATGTAAAGATAGTTTATTATAATCCATAATTCTTACCCCTTTAACCACTTTTAATATGGTGTCATCTGCATAGGATATTGCTATATCATTTATATCTAAGTTTATTGGACCAAGGACAGTTCCTTGTGGCACACCTATTTGAATTTTAATAGGATTACTAAATTCATTTCTAATTTTACCTCTCTGTGTAGGTAGTTTTCAAATGTTTTTAAAACCAATCCTCGAATGCCATAATGTTTAAGAACATTTAGTAGTTGCTTGTGAGAAACAGTGTCAAAAGCTTTCGCGAGATCGCTAAAAACACTTATATTTTTATTTTCATTCTCAAGACTGTTTTCTATATTAGATATCAATTCATACATGGCATCACAAGTGCTAACACCTTTTTGGAACCCGAACTGTTTAACATTTAAAATCTTTTTATCAATTAGATATTCCTATAATTTTTCAAAAATTTTTGCAAAATTTGTAATCAGACTTATTGGTCTGTAATTTGACACATCTTTTTTGGATCCGTTTTTAAAAACTGGATTTACAATTGATATTTTAAGTTCTTCCGGTATCTTACCTGTTGTAAAGATTAGGTTTATAATGTGCATTAGAGGCTCTATTATGTATCGGTAACCATTTTTCAACATTCTAGATGTAATTCCGGCAATCCCAGGAACACTGTTATTTTTTAACGGATTTATATGTTCTATTAATTCATTTTTATTGACAGGATTTAATGCCATTGAGTTGATTAGAGGTGGATATCTTATTAGGAAGTAAACTACAGAATTGATTTTAGTTGCCATATCTATACCAATTTTTGAAAAATAGTTATTGCAGTAGTTGGCCATTTCTTTGTCATTTGCAAATTGTTTAATATTGTTTAGAATATTAAAATCATTGTTTGTTTTATTGTTTCGGTGTTCATTTGATTATTTTGAATATTTTTTTAATATCATTGTTACAATTTTGAATTGTATAATAATCATTTTTAGCTTTATTTATTATTTTATTTAGTTGGTTGCGATATATCCTATATTCTCTTAGAAGATTGTTGTTTTTGGTTTTTAATATTTGCTTTTTCATTTTATCCCTATGTTTAGTAGACATGATGATGCCTTGACTTATCCATGGTTTTATTTTTTATAAGTATTATGCCTATTAGTTATATTACATTGTTCTTTTAGGGAATATATTATTTCAATAAATTTCTGGTAGGCCAAAATTGGATTGCTAAGAGAAATGACGTTGTCCCAGTTTACATTTTCTAATAATTTTGTAAATCTATATCAGTGTATTGTGTTGTATGTTGGTTTAATGTATTATGGTTAAAGTTTCTTTCGATTGTTGTATTATTTAAAAAAAAATTGGAAAATGATCAGTTAGATCAGTGTCAATTACCAACGATTTAAATGAAAAATTTTTATTTGGTATATTATTTTTTATAAAAATATGATCAATACATGATTTCGTTTCTACAGTAACCCTGGTGTATGAATTAATATATGATACAAATCCCAAGGAAGGTAACATTGCCAAATATCTATTTGTTATTTGGTTTGAGGGATCAAGGATATTAATATTAATGTCACCAATAAATATATCAATTCCTAGCCTTCTTGGTATACTATTTAAGAAATTTTCAAAATCTGTAAGAAATGTATCATCTGATATGGATGGAGATTTATAACAAGGCATTACTGTATAGGGCACACCATTATGACTAAATGTTATTGAGCTTATCGTTACATTTGATAGAGGCAACTTTGTATGTTCTATTTCAAACTGAATGTTGTTTTTAATATATATAACTACATCATCACATTGATTATTCACACTTTCATTAAATATATTGATAAAACCAGGTTTAATTAAATTATCAAGTTCAATAACATTACGCGTTTCTCCTAATATTATTATATCCAAGTCCTTTAAACCAAAAGTTTCTAAAAATACTAAAAAGTTGTCAAATTTTTTTTTGTACTTCTAATATTCTCTGTAGTTTTGGACGTGCATATATCCAGGAAGTGTAACTAACTGTTTAATATCGTTATTGACCCAGGCCTGTGTTATAAAAATAATAACTGTTTCTTGTTGGGTGACAACCAGTTTGAATTCACCCAGCTTGATGAATAGAGAATTAGCATTTGTGTACATCATGGAGATTTCAACTGTTAAAGAATTATTTAGTTTTTTGGGACAATTTTTGGTACTCTGTTAAAATATTCGTTTGTTATGTCTCGTTCTCCTTGCTGTTTTGTTAGGTCTGGTTTTATGTAGGTACCTGAACTCTTGGTGATGTTTTTGTTTCTTAATATTTGGGTTGCTAAGTCTATTATTGTCGAAAGTATTACTTTGATTGGTCTTATTTTATTTTCTTCATATCTCCCTAAACGATAGAATTTCGCTGTTTTATTACTACGGCTTTTCATAACTGCATTATGTTTTGTAACTTTGTTTTTTCCTGACTTTTATGTTCTTCGGTATTGTTGCTTTCTGTTTCTGGAACCCCAAATAGTAATATATTGTTTGCCCTTGATTGCCTTTCTTGCAGTTCTATAACTGCTTCACTTGTTAAGTCGGGTAGTTGTGGTTTTTCCTGTGCATTTGAATCCTCGGGTTTCTTATTTTTGCTTACAGTTTATGCATAAGTGATCTTAAGGTTGTTAACTTCTGAGTTCAGGTCTTTAACTTCTCCTTCCATATTACCGAATTGATTTTTCAGATTTTGCTTTCTTTTATAATTTTTTTTGTAGGTTTTCAGTTTATCTGTAATTTCCTGTAGTTTTGGTTTCAACTTGGCCATTTCATTTTCCAACTTGCCTTCAATTTGCCATGTGTCTGATATTTTGGAAGCAATCAGGGCAGAAAAAAAGGAGAGTTCGTATAGATAAAGTTATGCAACGGACTTCCGATGAGGATATACCTGAGCAGCTTTTGCAAAATGTTAGCTTATACCCATCACATAGACAGCCGAAGAGTTCATTTCTTTCTTCTTTTTGTATTCACTCCTTGATTCACTTGCTGAAAGTTAACATTTTCCAGCTCCTGTATTCAGTACTGGTTGCTCTTTTTTATTTTTACTTCTTTTCTTTTAGCAGATGTAATTTAATTTTATAGTAATTTCACTGGAGACTAAAATTTGACTTGGTTAGATTGTGGGTTTTTATCTGTTTTAGGTGCTGATAATCTGCCCAGTTTTTTGAGGCTGCGTTTATTTACTTTTCACTTAAATTCAAAAGTCAACGTTTATGAACGTGTTAAAACATAATTCACATTGCCAGTTTGTAAAGTTTAAATTAAGCTGGTCTAAATATGTAATTTGTTGGTGTATGTATTTTACTCTGGTAAAATTAAGAATAACTTGTGGAGGTTTTAATAATTACTGTTCACTGTTCACAATTACTTTTGATAGTCCCTCTTAGTAAGAACACCACGCTCAAAATTTTAAATAGCACCTGTATATACTTTATATTAGTTTTGGATGTAGTTTTACATCACCTACCCAATCACGTTTTAAAAATTATTGGTTATGTAAGAGCTGTTTATGAGATATAGCCTGGATGAATTAGTCTGGAACACCCTGGATACATAATAGATATCACATGTTATCACATCGTTGAAATTAACTCGTCAAGGGGATTATAAAATGTAAAAATTTAGAATAAATAAGTTTGACCTTAAAATCCGAATACAAAAAAGAACACAGCTACGTCATAATCATTATTTCTAATTTCAAATATATATTATCAATACCTATCAATAAATAAAGAATAAGTTTTTTTTGTATATAAAAATATTTCTTATATTCCTATAATATTAACACGCCACTAAACCCCCAGTAGGCGGCGATAGCCAATGAATTACTTTGCCAAATGATGACGTAGCCTATTGTAATCCGACCCTACTTCCGGCTATCCAAAATCGATCGATAGAGCACCCCTGAAAATCCCTTTTACTCAATTTTCACCCGAATATTATCTCTATTCGTTTATGAGGTATAGCCTGGGTGAATTAGTCTGGGACATCCTGTAGTGATATATTGGATTTCAACACTCCAATATTGGGTAACCTTGAATATTTGTTAAAACTTGACTAAGTAACAGTGTGTATAAATAATTAAAAAAAAAAAAAATACAGGGTGATTTATAAGGAATTGGTAATATTATACCTGCTGATTCTGTAGCGTAAAATATATATGGTTTGTTTAAGGAGGTCAAATAGTATTACTATTTTGTTAAACCAAGATCATCATCTATCCGATAGACTGAAATGATAGCTTATTCGATTTTCTCACGTCAAAAAACTAATTATTCTAACTTTTATGTTTATGTGTGAAAAAATAATTGAAATATAACATTACTGAATTATTTTTAGAACTTTAACCTCCTATATCTCACTAATACCAATTTTTGGCGAACTCCCGGTGATTAAACGGTATTACGCGTATCATTTTTGCAACGTGAACCGCTCGAAGGAAAGTGTTATGACATCATTCACTAACGTCATTGTTTGCTACCGTCGTGATGAATCTGTTCCCGGCCACTTGAGGTGGTAAACAAACGGTTGATAGTGACAGTTGACAGATGCATCCGATGTGGATATTCAAACGCGGTATTGGTAACTGCGTTTTATTTTGTGCGTTCATATTTTTATTTTATGTATAATTATTAATTATTGAGTCTGTGGTTTCGTTGAACTGTCTCTAAATTCTATTTGAATTAGTTATTTAAAAGAAAAATTGCCTATCTTCCTCAATTTTAGATTTCTCACAGTTTGTTTATTGTTAAATACCTTTTAAAAATACAAAACATAAGCTCGTTCATCTAAAACGTTGACGTTTGACGTTAACCTGTTCATTTTAGCGAATAATTTTTTAGAAACCGAGACATGAGAGTGGGAGAATTTGACATGTCACGGTTTCTGTGTCACTGTTTATCAACGCGAGCACGCCAAAAAATGCTTTATGTATTAATATTTGATTCCCAGTTACTAAACAAAATAATATCCGCTATAATTAT